AAAGCTCCCTGGAAAAGGCAAGGAGACACATTGTGCTAACTACTGGCCCTCAATTCACAAATGAATATGGCCAAGCTCAGCTAAAGCAAAAAAAAAAAAAAAAGAAAAAAAAAGAACCAAGACAACAAAACCCCACTGAATTGTGATTTATAGTAAATCTCTGACATTTTTATGGTTCTCAAACCAATAATGCAAGAAGAAACAGCAGACAGTGAGCTCTTGGCACTGGTATTGACTTCAAGGTCAGTGGAGCACAGAAACCCATTGGTTACTGATAAAATGGTCTCTCCTCCACCCAGCTGCTTCTGGTTTTCAGCACAGAACTTCTTGGAAACCTGCAGGTGTTTGATATTTCGTGGTACTTAGCTCCCCTACTGCACTTGATAGAATAATTGCTTTGTTTAAACTTTTCAATCAACAGAATTTCTTCTTCCCTTGAGCCTGGATTTGCCTTATTTAGTATCAAGACTAGAGAAAGCAGGTTAACAGCCTGCCTAGGTATTCACATCTAGGCAGAAGCCTTTTATTCTTGAATCAAAAAATGGTATTCTGCTATTATTCTTTCAACTGGTATGCAAGGGTAACGTGATTGTGTCTGTAAGTAAGTGCCATACTGAATTTAATCGTGCTATTTATTTGCTTTGAATTATCCTGTATTCATTTTTTCTGTACTCTTAGGCATCGATAAAGTGGTTCTTACTATTACAGTAAATTAAATGCACTTTAAAAGATTATCTTTTACATTTGTCATAACAAGAATTTACATCCATGTTTTTCTCTCTTTAAGTGGGTATAAAGAACCCATGTACATTTTTTAATTTAGTGTGTAGTATTTATTACGTAGAGAACAATTTCTTAACTAATCACAACTCATTAAGTTCACAAATTATCCCAAATAGCCCATGGTAAAAGACCTCTTGCATTAGGAACAGGAAAACAATCCAAATTTTTTTGTGAACAAGCATAACTAATTTTCTGGTTCTTTTCATGGATGAAATTAAGTATTTCAAAATGCAAGAAGTCCATGGGAAGTAAGAGGAGGGCAGACAGCGAGTGAAAAGCAGCTGTGGGAAGGATGGAGGATGGATGTGAATGGCACAACTTTGAGCAGAGGGGAAAATGGAGGCTGATGCTGTGTGCAGGGGAGGAACCTCCCACTTCTTTGCTTCTCTCCCTGGATCAGCCCTGCCCCTCCCTCGCTGCAGCAAAGGTGTGCTGGGGGCTTGTGGCCACCCTCCCACAGCCCCATGCCCTGCTGCCTAATGACTGTCACTTAATTGTTGTGTTTCCTGGAGCAGGCAGTCCCAAATGTGATATATGAACTGCACAAGAGCCTCCTTCAAACACAGAGCCATTTAAACCTTACTTATTAAATACTCCATTCACTCTGCCAGTCACTTGCCTTTTTTTTTTTTTACATTACATGTGTGGTGTTTTCCACATGTTTAGCACTGAAGCAGGCAGTTGTTTGGACTATACACCTCTGTGTACTTTTTTTTAATGTAATAAAATTGACAGATGACTTCTTTTTGCAACAGGTCTGGTAGAAGAAAATGTTTGGGTTTTTTTTCCTTGATGGCTGTTTAGACAGCAGTCTTAAAAAATGACTAGTCACTAAAATTCCTCATGCTCATTTCATATTGTGTTGATTCATATTAAATTCATGACAACAAAAAAGCAACTTGAGGCACTTTTGGAAATGACCACTCTTTAGTGCTTCTCTCCTCCAGGCTCGATAGGCCCAGAGTCCATAAAGCTGCCTGCTGTCTTGTGTCATGAAAAGAAACAGCTTTGCCTGGGAATGCCATTACTGTGTAATGAGGCATGCAGCAAAATATACCTTCAGCAGCCACTTGATGAAGGCTTGCTGACACACCAGACCAGACAGAAATGTTTTTTTGTGTGTTCTTCCTTATTTTGTCCATCAATCACATCATTAGTCAAAGCAGACAGCTCTGTCAGCTGGGCACAGATGCAGACTGGCAGGCGATCAGTGGACAGGTGTTAGAGCTCTCCCAAAACAAGATCTTGAAATGAGAAAAGGAGTGAAGACCTTGTTCCAAGGGCTGGAATGTCAATATATTAAAGGAAAAAAAAAGAAAAAAACCAACCAAAAACCAACATATAAAAAAACCCAGTACCCAGGAGGGGAAAAGTTCAGAGGGCATGCTCAGAGCCACTATAGAGAGACTGGGAGAAAAGTTAAAAGGAGCTGCCACTTTGCATTACATTTTCATTTCTGCCTGTATTAGCTGGTGTTGGTGGATAACGGCGACGTCCAGCATTTGCTGTTTTGAATAGAGTCTAAAGGACATTATGTAAACAGTATTGTACTTCAGTTTCATTAGGAAAATCCTCCATGGCACACGGATTTATTTGTCCGAGGCTCCTGTCATTAAGCTGAGACACTAATACCCACAACGAGCATCTATACTTTCAGTTTGACGTGCAAAATGGCACAGGGCTACACGAGGGATCTCATTTTCATTAGAAGAACCAAAAACATAAACAGAGTGAGATACATCTGAGGTGCCCCTGGTCACAGGGAGTGCTAATCAAGCAGAGGCAAACCCTCCCCTCCTGAGCCCCGACACAGCGATGGCCCCACAGCTCCACTGCAGGCTCTCTGCGCCCGCTTCGCACCCACCTGGGCTCACTCTGCATTTGGCTACTCATGGGGGGAACCCTCCTGGGGAGTTTGTGGCTCTCTCTGGGGATGGCCAGGAGGTGAACCCGCTCCTCAGCCATTGGTTTTATCCCTGTAAACTGGAGCTAGTTCTCCTTCACAACATTTTCGTATGAGTCCTTTAAAGCACGGGGTGTTTCATTTCCTTCCCATCCCCTCAAGCTAAGTTTTTGTCTACAGTCACACTTTGAATTCTAGGTTTTTTTAATAATGAGTCTGGCTAATATTGTTTCTGAACAGCTTTGCATGCATTGTGCACTCTTTTTGAGTAATATTAGATAATTTTCCAGCTCCTTGTCACCAGGCACGTGATAAATCTCCAGCAGAATCTCATTGTTCTGAGTCCCAAACCTGGGCAGAAGGGTGCTCTTGTGAGGTCCAAAACAAAATAATTTTATCTATAATGTGCTTCTCTCAATCATTCTATGCTGGAGTTGGCCAAACTGAATTAAAAGACCTTTTTATTAATCCCAGATGAACCCAGCTCCATAGAAAAACAAGCAGCAAATCCCCAGCTACAAAGAGGGAGAGACCAACCCTTTGGGAGAAAAACTCTCAAGCAAAGAATGCCATCAGGACCATACAAAAAGGGCAGAGATGTTCATGATAAAAGTCTATGCATTGGACAGCCCAGGCAGGGGATACCACCTCCAACTGCAGTTGGTTTTAGTCTTATTTTAGCAAGAAAGACAAGTCCCTGGAGTGAAGTGATTTGAACAGAAAAAATCAATTAGTGATAATTCCCAGTGAAGTGGAACCAACCAATAAGCTAACCAGCTTCTTGCTGACAGAAAACAAGTTTGCCAAAACCATGTCACTTTTCAATTAAAAAAAAATACAACTGTTAAACTAGAAAACTTTCCCTTTAGAAACAGAGGTAAAGTGGTTTGGGGAAAGGGACAGCAAGTCAATTGAACAGGAGACATGTACAACCCACAGCTGCAAAGCTGCAGTGATAATTGAGGTGTCTAGGTAGGATCACAGGTTTTCCTTCAACTTTTGCCTCCTTCCCATTGCAGCTGTCTTTAAAATCCTGCAATTACTCAAGGCTTTCCTATTTCCCCCAGGCCTTCACTGTCCCCTTTCTCACTTTGCCCCTTTGCTCATATTTACACTCTGCTTCCTCTGCTCTATTTCAACCCTCACTAACCCATTATCCTCTCTTGCCTCTTCCCCTGGGCTTTATTCCCTCTTCTCCTTCCTTCTTCAGCCCAATCAAACACCAGTTTCTTGTATAAAATACATTTTAAAGCGAAAACACCCCAAACATACATATTGCATTTAAATGAAGTCATCTACTAAAAATAACATAGGGTCTCCCAGTGCAAGACAGAGCACAGTCATATCCACAGCTCCAATTTTTGCACAATGGGATTGCCCTGAAAAGAGGAGGTTCCTGGTGAAATATCAAGGTAGCCTGGATTTTAACTTGTGTCATCACTGATTTTGGTCACTTATTTTAGAAAATATTTACAGGAAAAAAAAAAAGAAGGTGGGGAGAAAATCCTTTCCACTTCAATAAATAATAGGCTGGAGGGAGGGTGGAGAGAAGAGGAAAGGAAGAGAAATTAGGATCACTGAAAGGTCAGGTGCCTTTATACAGCACAAGGGAGAAGGAGCAGGCATTCAGATCCTACCAAGAGCTGACCTTTCTAAAGATGTGCTCAGCATGAAGGGGTAGTACCTGATACAGAGCCACACACCTACCTTTAAATAGGAATTAAAGCCAGATAACTCTGGGGATACCCTTAATCTAACGAGCCTTTAGAGGTCACTGTTGTGCCAAACAGGCCCGGGTGGGACACATTTATCTGGTAAAAGAAAATAGTGGAGTAAACGAGCATTAGTCCACCAAACATCTAAGCTTTATGAATAAACCCTTCTAAAAAGTGCTTTTCCTATAGAATGGGGTGTAACAGTCATTAACAAATTAGCTTTGTTACCTACCTTTCAAGTGTGTGCATATTGACTTCAAACCTCCTGGGTGGCCTAGAAGAATCAGAGTGAAAAATGTGAACATGGCCCTTGTGCCAACCCTTGCCAACAGCCAGGACTCCTATGGAAATGGTTAAACTCAAGGATCTCAGTAGTTTTCATGAGCACAGAAGGAAGAAAAGTAGCATGAACTTGACTCAAACCATGGTGACTTGGGTTTTAAACCAGATTTCTTCTGAGATTCTGAACAAACTACTTCTTCCCCAGTTGAAAACTGGAAAGAGTTTGAGGCTAGTTTGTGGCTGAATTGATGTTCTAGAGTATGGACACTTCTATGGGATGGCAGCAGGGATCACACAAGGATTTGGGGTGAATTCCTTACGAGGTGGGTGAAATCCCAGAGATGAGGAGGTGTATTGGAGTTTCCAAGTTCACACAAGATAAGCTTCAAGCTTATGTTAAGCCCTCACTGGGTTATAGCCCTTGGTGGCTTCAGCTTCCAAAGTTCCTGATGAACCCAGGCCCTGCTGTGAGAAGGCACCTGGTGAAGCCCACCTGCCAAAAGGACATGAGAAGGAAAACAGGTCCACTGTGAGACTGCATCACTCCTGCCATGCTTGTGCTCCAGTGGCAGCATGAAAAATCATACAGCAAATCCCCTTTCTCGTGCAGCCTGGATCCTTGTCTCTGCAGCATTGCCATCGATCTCTTCCTTCTACGTTCAGCTCCTCAGCAGCCCGTTGGGGCCAATTTGTCAATAATTTCAAAGGTTATTCAAACGTTCAAACTTTATTGTGATTCTTAATGGATCATCTCCATAGAGCAATTTAGAAGTGTGGGAGAAGGAAGGTTATGCAGGAACAGAGGAGAGAATTTCTGGCTGGTGCCAGTGCTGCTGTGACTTTGCCCCACAACATCTCACATGGCAGAGCCACTGTGCCAGACCTTCAACCATGTTAGATACATCAACACTTTCAAGGAAGGCACCAGTAGTTATGATGATTCAGGAGCAGGAAGAACACCAATTAGTAGGAAACAATGCTAGCAGAAAGGCACCATCAACACCACACTGGAATTCAGCAGATTTGGATTTCCCCACACTGGAACTCAGCCGTCTCATAAATGAAGGACAGTCTTGTCATCCTTAAACCTGCCTGTTAAATTCAAAGCATGAGATTCAGGGAAAAAAACCACACAATTTAACATGAACATGCCCTGGCATTTCTTGAAGCATGAAACAAATGTTCATAACAAACTCCTGGCTCCAGGAGCCTCATAATTTAGAAACAATTCTTATTAGGGAAATACCTAACACCTTCCTTTAACATCTTCCCCCCACCCCCTGACTAAAGATGCTACAGAAACTTGGCCTATTTATTGTGTAAATTTATTGTGTAAACTTAAATTTTTGAAGTTAATAATAACCCCAGTGATGCCAGTGAAATCAAGTCAACATAGACAAAAGGTGGTTTTGTCCTTCTGGGAGTGGTGTAAAGACAAACTACACACAGTTACACACAGGGAGGGGAAGGAGGAAAGCTGAGGGCACAGCCTGGCAATGTTTGGGAAGCAGGAGCAAGGTAAAATGCCAATTCCCTGCCCACCCAAGTCCCTTTGAAGCAGGAGATCTGCCATAGCTCCTGGCCACACTAAGGCAGTGACAAAACTCTCTCTGAATTTATCTGTTCATCCAAAGTGTCAGTTTCTTTTTTAAAGTGGTCTTAAACTAGAATATTTCATGAGCTGAGAGCTGCCAGTTATAACAGTTACGTTGGGAAGAACTGCAGATTTTATCTAAACCATACAATTACCTCTAGAAAATACATTTTTAAAGTCTATCTATATCTGTAGAGTACACCCAACGCACCTGTCAACCAGATATACTATATGTCAAAGTCATCACAGAATATCAAGTAGGTGTCAATCAAATTAGTCTTTAAAAGTAAGAACTTCTATACCAGAACCACTGAAAAGAGCTATGTGATAACTGCATAGAAGTACACCTATTTTATTAGAGCTATCACATTGTACTAATTCCTGTGTTCACAAGAAGGGTTTTATAACTACAAATATAGCCAAGTCTAAACTAGGACATGGCTAATGTTCTCTTCTCAAATAAACAAGTCCAGTAATTTTCACATTTTAGATGGCAGCATCCCACTGATCAGAATAGTTTTAATATGAGAGCAGCAAGACAATATATTCAGAAGCAAAGGTGCAAATGGAGCACAAATTCCTGGATGTATCCCATCACCACAAATGGCTTTTCTTGGGTCAGAACTCCTTATGTGAGCAAAAGTGCCAGGAAAACAGGACCTGTGAGAGGCAGGGATTAAATCTGCAGATTATTTGCATCATAATATAAATCTGCAGCATATTTTGCAGTGGAATACTCATTTTATACCTTTGTTCCTGAAGTTCTAGGAGGAAAACTTCTCTCATCTGTAAAAATGTGAGGTACAAGAAATGTCTTGTCCAAAGCCATGGAAAACTTGAACTCTCAAATGCATTAATGAATCAAAGTGTGAAATAAACAGAAAAATGACCCGGTACAAAACAAGTCGTCTATTCATTTTGAAGCACTTAATTTCTGTTTATATTTTTTTAGGTTTCTAAAAAAAGAAAGTCCCTTTTAACCTCAACTAGAGACACAGAGGTTGTCATTCAACCAATTTCCTGCAATATTTCTGAGACAAATAAATTTAAATTAACTTGTATCTATAAACAGGCTAGTGTTAACGAGTCAGCATTTTCCTATAGGAAAACATTTCATCAGCAAACCAGCTCTACAAATTAATTGCTACTTCACAACATGAAGATATTTGTGATAGATCTTTCTTTTGTCATAAGAACAAATCAGTGAGATACAGCTTGATTTGAATTGCATGCTGTAAAAGTACAAAAATAATAATAACATTTATAGGGAGCTGATTTTACATCTCAAAGGATATTTTTTTAATATTACTTTTCTCCTTCCAAGCAGAAGCAGAAAGATTAAAACAATCCTAAAAAAAGCCATAAACCCCAAGTATTCTTTAATTACTTTGCTTAGTAAGAGCCACAAATCAGGGACAGCTGCCTGAATTTTCATGCCATTCCCTCTGGAAGATATAACTTCCAAAACTGATTTCCGGATTGAGTAATCAGTAATGGATATTTTTGGAAGAAAAACCTTGGATCAAAAATTTATGATGACACCAAACACTGCTAGTTCCCTATTGCAGATGCCAAAGCAAGTTCTCCATCCCATTTGGGAGAATTTGTAATTCCTGCAGTCCAGAAGTACTGAATTTTTATCAAAACAGCTCAGCACAATCCTTTTACTTACTAATGTCAATACTGCTTTTTACCTCACTTTGTTCTTCTAATTTACAGAGACAATTTAGTCAGGGTAGTTGCACTTGGACTTTTAAGGGTTTTTAAAACACTGGGACAGCAAAGTGAGATCTATTACAGTGGTGGGAAGATAGTATGAGTTACAGCACAATTACCACCATTTGGAGCAGCATTGTCATGTAGCTACGATGTAGCTTACATTAGGTAAAACAGCTCAAACACTGAATAGAACAATGTGCTGCCTATAAATCTCCACACATCTTCTATTATTAGGAAAACTTCTTAAAATTCATACTTGATAAAGTAATAAACTTGCTTGATGTATAAGACCCCACATACCAACTGCTGAAATACAATGAGGGCTGTTAAAAGGATAAACCTGTTGAATAAATCTGCTATGTAAAAATTTATCTCAATGTTATATATAATGAAACCCTTCTTAAACAAAAACCTGATAAAACAATAAACCTGTTCAAAGATTAAATTTGCTGCACTCTAGGGCTATACTTCTCTGCTGTATTTGGAGCTGCCAGACAACTTTCAACCTGTTTAATTTCAGCAGTCCCGTTTTAACACCATTTTTTTCCTATTCTGTTTCAATCACCCCTGTGCTTGTAAAGTCTGGGAAGAGTCCTGCAGTTTGAATACAATCCACCATAACATTTCTGCCAATGAAAGTTAACAGATGAACTTTTTCATTTTTTCATGCTTTCATTTTTCTTGATACAGACACATCTCTAGGCATGAGTAACAGTTGTCCATTAACTCGTTATAAAGGCACGGAAGAGAGTGGAGATGGAGAGAGATCTATGATGCAGAAACACTGGAGAGTGCCTAGAGCAAATGTTCATCCCACCCTGGACTGCTGAGAGAGGATCTGCACAATCTGTCCCTGTTAGTAATGATGTCCCTGAGGAATAAGACAGTGTGAAGAGGATTTTAGTATTTTTGAAGAGGCAACCACCACTCTGCAGCATTAGACCGTAAGACTGGTTCTTACTCACGAGATTCATGGTCTGTTTGCTTGAACAAAAGCTCACAGATTTTGGCCTGGACTCCAGAAAACAATAGTGTAGGCAGGCTAGGAGCTCTGCTAAAAAAAATTTCAGAAGAACACCCATGACTATATCAAGCATCTGGAGTGTTCTTTAATAGTGAGTAATGATATTTCTTTTGTCAGGCAGCTGGCACCTTCTGCCTCCTGACACCCTCTAACATCACTCTTACTTTGAAGGCCTTTGTTAGCTCTCAGCACACCTCCCACCACTCTCCAACTTTCTCTCTACCTCTGCATTCACCTTGTGAGAAATGCAAGAGAGCCGCCACCACCACCCAGGACCTGCCACCATCCAGAAGCTGCTTTTACCTTTCAAGGGCTGGTTTTGCAGCAAACCATCCCATTTCAGCTGAGAGTGGAAAGAGTAAGGACAGGAGTTGGATATCCATGGGTTATTTGACCCACTCCCATAGCTAACACATGAAGATCCCAAAAGCTTCCAGGCATCTCTCAGGTGTTGCAGCCTTTCAAGGGCAAGAACCAAAACACTTCCTTCTGGCTGCCGCTGGCCCCAGGAAGGGCAGCAACCCCTTTCCTTCTCACTACTGAGGGCAAAACATCTCCCACCTTGAGTATAACCAAACCTCACCTGGGTCAGCAGGGTCAGCTCCCCTCTGCCAAGTGTGGATGAAGATGTTATCCCACCACAAGGATGAGGCTATTCTGGTAATTCTTGAAAAAATCCTTTCGCTTGAAGAATTTTTTAGTGCTCTCCCAGGTGCTGTGACTGTAGAGGAAAAAAAGAGTCTTAAGTAACATTTCACCTTTGCCTGTAGGCATTTTCTCACAGGAGCCACTCTCAGTCTCAGATGCAGACTCACATCTGCCCTGACAGGGTGGTGGGTTTCTGCTGAGCCCAGTTCCTGCCTGCCATGTGAGGCCTGGGGGAGCTCAGGACACTTTCAACCTGTGCTCCCCACCCTGATGGTCAGCTCAGGAGGAAAACACTGACAGCTGGGCATTAAACTCACCAAGAGTGTGCAGCGGAGGTGCAGATAGAAACGAACTGCTCAAAACTTGGCATGAAATGCTGCCAGTAATATTCAGGATTCATCATTTTATTTTGGCAGGGATTTGTTTCACTGTAGGAAAGTACTTCCAGAGTCATCTTCCACTGAAAAATGTGAGATACTTCCAGAAACTGCAGTGAGCAAACCAATTAATCCTCTCTCAACTCCTTACAAGGGACTGTAACGAAAGGCCTAATTCCTAGAGACAAGGTCACTCCCCAGGAGCAGTTGGGCTGGCAGAAAACCCTGAAGTGTAGGGGAGGCATGTTCAATGCTGTCTTTGCTCAAACTCTGAGCCAGCAGAGCTCCTTACAAGAACTGATCAAAAATTGCACGTTGGAGGAGCTGCAGGGACTGCACCAGACTCCTGTACCTGAGCTAAGTCCCAGATCTGCCCTTCCATCCTTTCACAGGAAAGTTCTGGCTTGATCTAATCAGATTTGGACTTTTATTTTAAGAATCTCCCTTTAACAAGACAGAGTTCTGTCATGAGCAACACAGGGGACACCCAGCTCCTGCTGGTGGGGTTTGGTCACTCATGAGGATACAGAAAGGAGGATGTTTGGGAGGTCTGTCCAAGGCAATGCACTGACAGTGGGCACTGGCTCTGCAGAGCCACAGTCAACTCTCTGCTACACTAAATTAAAAGATTTTAACTACCTCTTGTAGTTATTATTGCACTGCCCAAGTCACCTCTTCCTTTCCAAAAGGACAGGGTGTACCCAAATAACCAGTCATGAGGTCACTGTGGGCAGGACCAAGTTTAAAAACTTCAGACTTGTGAGCACTGGGAGATGAGAACAAATCCAGTGTGTCTGTGGTAAGAAATAACCAGGGCAAAGCTGTCAGATACTAAAAATCACAGCTTAAAAGATGGAGAAACTGCATTGTGCTCATTGACACTTGACTAAAAGACAACACTGGTGTTGCTAAAGGGACAAATAAAAGGCTGCAGGATGATGCTAGCAGTGATGTGATACATTACACACTCTGGTCTCCAACAATCCTGCTGGTACTAATGAAAAATAGATGTTAAAATGTAACATTGAAATTATCAAGAGCAATTAGCAATAATCATATCTGTGGGTCTCCATAGCAATTAGGAAATGAATTGGATTGCTGTATCATTGTGCAGGACTCTTTTACCTCTCCCTCCCTGTGGTCCCCTCACATCCCAAAACACAGGTGGGGCATGCACACCTCTGCACACACACACACACACTCAGGCTCTGCCTGTTTGTTGCTCACCTAATGCTTGTTTGTTTTGTTCTCCCCCTTTCCAAACAGTGGCTGGACTCAGCTCAGGCACAGTGATCTGTAATCTCGCAGCCATTTTTCTGAACATAAGCAGCTTGCATTTAAAACTCTCCTGCTCATCTGTCTTCATTTGAAGACTGGGTTAAAAAATAAAATTAATGATTGCTATCAGAGAGAAGATGAGCAGCATCACCAGTGAAAAGTAGCACTGCCACATTTTACCAAGGCTAACATTTTTCACTGGCTGGAAATGGCTGGATATACTTGTAAACATTATTAAAAATAATAACTTAATGTTTCCTTCCTGTGACTAGCTAGCATTAGCAAGGTATTTTCAATTAGCATTTCCTCCAAGCAATGTAGGTCTTTTACTTCATTCTATTTAAAAAGGGATTTGTTTTCTAATTTTTTTACTTCTGCTGTTGTCAATAATAGAATTCAGTGGAATGGCTGCAGGTTTTTCCTCCCATCACTTACGGTTTGTAAACCACTGAGAGGGAATGTATGTGTTTGATTTTATTTGCTTTAGCATAGCTGTCCAATGAAAGAAACAGACATAAGTATGCATTTCAATCTGCTGTATAATCTTATGCAAGGCTCTAAAATACAAGTAAATAGCATCACGCACTTAAATCAAGTAATTTTATTTTTAGGGAAAATAAACAAATAATAAAGTGATAAAATAATATAGATGCCTTTGCATCTCTTTTTGTAAGAAAACATGCAATATGAGTAAAACCACTCTAATAGACTTCATCCAACATTTAACATACCTGGGTAGTGGAGAGTGTTGCATTTCCAGTTCTAACAAGGCTCTCCTTGATGTACTAATCTCAATTAATTTCAAAATCTTTTTATATATAAATAAATAAATAAATAAATATGGTTTTTAATGCAAAATAGGCAAATGTTGTCAAAAATGCAAAGTTGTTTCATAGGTTTGGCAGCCTCAAGGTGATAATTTAATTCAAGTTCAACACAAAATTTTTGAATATCTCAATTGATTGCATTGGACAATTCTCCATTCCTTTAATCAGATTAACATAAAACTTGCATATCCAACATCAATTTCACATGCTCTAATTCTATAATGCATAAGATGTTGCACTGCCATACAACAAGCTCTTAAAGGTACTATGTCTGCTGGTAAACTTTTAAGTAACTACATACATACACTCACAGAGATTTGACCAGGGTAACCAATTATCTGCTTTTATTGATAGACAATATCTCCTTAATATATAAATGCATCAATTCCTTATCTGGAAATAAAGGTCTATGCTCTAAATATAACATATTCATCAATTCCAAGAGAAAAAAAAAAATATTCTCTTCTGTTTGTGCATCTGCCAATTAAAAATTTACTTTTTAAGTACAGTGTGAAACCTTCAATGTCCTCTGATATTTCATATACCTCTAATAGTAAACCTCATTGACCCATTCAGTAGCTTGCAACTACTTTTGAAATAGGCCCCGATTTGGAAAGTGCCAAAATGCTGATATTTCATTGACTGGTTACAATTTCTAATGTGCTGGTGAAAAAACAATCCTGGAGTACAAGAATCATAATCTCTATGCATCAATCCATCATTCAGAATTGCTTCCATAAAAGAAAAATTAATGTTTCAGTTGCCTACATGTGAAGGTAACACCAAACAGCCTTTATACAGCTGGAACCAGTTATAGGAGAAGTCAAAGGGTATTTACCATGGTTAAACATATTTCACACAATAGCAATCCCTACCTGGGAAACAAAAGCTTTGTATGCCACCACAGTTATCAAACATTAGTCACAAAATGAGCATCTAAACACAAGCTAAAATGGCTTCAGTGCAACACTCTAGATCCATAGTTATTCCATGGAAATGGAATTATTGGCATATCAAAGTTTCAGATTTATGCACAAAACAAAGATCAGCCCTTCCCTTGCAATCCCAGAAGGAAAATCTATTGCAGTAATGCTGAGATCCATTTAAAGGGCATTTGTATGTAAAAGATTGGGCCCTAAATCTGGATGGACTTTTACTTTTATATGTAGATAATGTGTTATATGGAGCCAGTACAATAAAGTCTTAGACTGAGACAAAGCATAATAAAGATGGGACAGCTAGATGAGTATTATCTGCATATGAAGTATCCAGGTTACAAATGCACTCTTCAGCTGTTGCATCAAATTTACCAAAATTTGGGGCTGAAATTCAAGTTGTTGAGCTGCTGACCATCAAGGGCATTCCTGAGCTTTGCAGTGAATGTGTGACATTGTACACAGTGAGCTGGACTCAGCCAGGAGTCAGTCATGCTCTGGCTCCTGCCAGCTCTGAGCTCCTACCTCTTTTGGAGCTAGTCCTGCTTGGAGACACATTTCTGTCGTTGTAATAGCAAACTATTTATTTTTTTTGTTTGGAAATATGTTAAAAATATATGTGTGTGTATGTAATGTGCATGTACACATTTGTTTCCACACTTGCCATAGAGAGGAAACCATTTTATGGCAAGTATCCAACCCTTCACATTATTTCTCTGGCAAACGCTAAAATGTCTGTCAACATCGTGTAAACAGGCTGGCAGGGAATTTTGAAGAAAGAAAATGAAAGCTGCCATTTATTCTGTGCATGACACCATTTAAACATTTTTCAAAACATTAAATGTTGAATTGCCATTTAAAATTTTGAATCATTCATCAACATGACATAAGGTGGCATGCATGTCCTTATAAATTCAAACAGATCAATCCCAGAATGACCTACTAAAAAGCAATCAAGAACCTCAATGCATGTGAAGGTGCTATAAACCATGGCAGATAGCACAGGGATAAGATGATGCTGAGCAGCACATCTGGTCGTGGTCTCTACACAAAGCACAGCTTAATTTTGCAGAATTTAAGGGTGCACAAGTGCAGGTTGTCCTGATTTGCTCAGATTTGCTCTAGGGTTTAATAAAGAAAGCTTTTCACCCTGCAGACCTGTTTGCAGCCTCGTGTGGCTCTGCAGGTCAGCTCCTGGGGAACGGCCCCATCCAGGAGGGGATGGCAGAAATGCTGGGCTGCATCTGATGGGATCTCAGCAGATGCTGAGGAGGCATTTCCCCACTTCAGTGTGCCCACCCTGATTCCAACCCAACACACACAGACTCCGAAGTTTTGGTAAGAACTTCAGCAAAGAATAACATCATTTAAACATTCCTTTGAATACATCCTGCTGATCCCAGTGATTTGTTGGGCACCTCACTGTTTGTTGTGTGACAAGTTGGACTTTGGACAAGGTCAGCTCTTGAATCTTGATTATGTTTTTTTCCCCTTGAGCCAGAAGACATTGATTTGTACATCTAGTTTACCTTGTTTTCTTAGCCATTTGTGACACAGTACAACAGTTCCCATCGAAAAAAGTGTCATGTAAATAAATTACAACTTAGGACGTATACGT